TCCCAACATGATAAAATAGCCAGTGACTGAACGGCGGGTGAGAGGACAACTGGCCCAGTCTGAATCAGAATATCCACGAAGAACGAGATCATTGTCTGACTGAAGTAATAAACCTTGACCCGGGTTAGCTTTTAAATATCGCAAAATGCGAAGGACAGCTTCATATTGAGCAGTAGTAGGATTTTGCATGAACTGAGCAAGGACATGAACGGAATAGCTTAATTCGGGTCTTGTGATAGTTAAATACACTAGACGTCCGATGAGCCTTCGGTACTGTGCTGGATCCGAGAAAGGAGGACTTTCTGTAATGGCAAGTTTATGGTTTGTTTCAAGAGGAAGGTCACACGGTTTGCATGCAAGGTGGCCAGCATCCTTTAATATATCCAAAGCATACTTTCGTTGGCTAAGAAAAATTCCAGAAGAACTATGAGCTATTTCTATACCAAGGAAGTATTTGAGAATTCCCAAATCTTTAATATGAAAGCATGATTGCAGAAATTTTTTAACAGCATTGCATATGACCTCATTGTCACCGGTTAGAATGATATCATCTACGTAGATAAGTAGAGCAACCATAGGATTCAATTGATGACTTTAACTTATCAAACCAGTTTCGAGGGGACTGCCGCAAACCATAGAGAGATTTTTGTAAGCGGCATACCTGATATGGCTTGTGATGATGGAAACCTTGTGGAACTCTCATGTATACCTCCTCTGTAAGATCTCCGTGGAGAAAAGCATTTGTAACATCTAATTGGTATAACTTCCATCTCTTGGCAGCTGCTACAGCAAGAAGAGTCCTTACACTAGCCATTTTTGCAACTGGAGCGCAGGTATCGAAGTAATCTTCACCAGCTACTTGATTGTTTCCAGCAATGACCAGCCTTGCTTTGAATCTTTCTACACTGCCGTCTGATTTATATTTAATACGGTAAACCCACTTGCATGGAATTGCTCGTTTTCCAGGCGGCAAGGAAGTGAGCTCCCAAGTCTGATTATGTTCAAGTGCATCAATCTCTTGTCTCATAGCTAGACGCCATCGTTCATCAGTGATTGCTTCCTTGAAAGATTTAGGTTCGACACCAGAAGAAATTGCAACAAGAAACTGTTGATGTTGGGCAGAAAATTTAGAGCAAGAGACATAGTTAGCAATAGGATAAATAATACCTGAGGATGAACTAGAGTGGGTAGACGAAGCTGCTGGTGTATGTGCTATGACATTGGTGCATGAAAAATCTTGTAAATATTTTGGAGGACGACGAGAACGATGACCACGACCCAAATTCGCTGCTGTATCCGATTGCTGTTCCAAATGTTCATCTGTATCAGAATGCTGCAATAAAGGCTGTTCAGGTTGTGTAAGGGTTGTATCTAATGGATGAGAAGGTAAAATGGATGGTTCGTTGTTAGGTAATAAAGGTATGGCAGTTGGTGTATTGGACATATCGGAAACAGCTTGTACAGGTTCATGTATGGCAGATGGTGCATTGGATATATCAGAAACAACTTGTACATGTTCGGGTATAATGTTTGGGTCAGGTTGAGTCTGAGATAGGTTAGGAAGTGTATTATTGGTAGGATTTTCTGTTTGTGCTGCAAATGGGAAGATGTTTTCCTCAAATATTACATCTTTGGAAACAAAAATGGTTTGTGTTTCCAGGTTATAGAGCCTCCATCCTTTTTTGCCAAAGGGATATCCTAAAAATAAACAGCTTACAGATCTAGCAGCAAACTTATCTGAGGGCTTGGGGCGTGGATGAGCATGACAAAGGCACCCAAAAATTCGAATATGATCATAGGAAGGTGCTCGTTTGAATAAACATTCATATGGAGTTTTGCCTTGGAGAATGGGTGTAGGAGTCCTGTTGATTAAATGAACAGCTGTGAGAACACACTCCCCCCAGAATTCGATGGGAAGATTGGCCTGAAATCGTAATGCTCGTGCCACATTCAAAATGTGTTTGTGCTTCCGTTCAACACGTCTGTTTTGCTGTGGTGTATCCACACATGAAGTTTGATGTATAATCCCCATATCTGAATAAACCTTGCGGATATTATGAGCACAGAATTCTGATCCATTGTCGGATCGTATTATTTTAACAGTCGTGTTAAACTGAGTACGAATCATGAGAAGGAACTGAGTTAAATAGTGAAATGTTTCAGACTTGGTTTGCATTAAATAAACCCAGACATTCCTGCTAAAATCGTCCACAATTGTTAAAAATATCTTGCACCAGTTAAAGAAGTAGTTTGATAGGGGCCCCAAATATCACAGTGAATGAGATCAAAGCATGAAGTAGTTTTATTATTGCTAATAGGGAATACAGTGCGTGTTTGTTGTGCTCGTAGGCAAATGTCACATACTGGAGAAGAGGTTTCCCTATTTTTATTCACTGCAACAAAAGGAAGAAATTGCAAAAACTGAAATGAAGGGTGACCCAATCGACGATGCCAAATTGCTGCTGGTTGTTGAGTTTGAGCAGTGCATGCAGAAGAGATGGAGCTGGTAGTGTTAGTTTCATGCACATAAACACCAGCTTGTAGTCTACCCAGTCCAGTCTTGATCCTCGTTGTGGGGTCCTGCAGAACACAACTATTGTGAGTGAAAGAGATGGTGCAATTTGTGTCAGCAAGTATTTGAGCAACTGAAATTAAATTGCATTGCAATTTCGGAACATAAAGCACATTCTGAAGAATGATATGAGATGTCAACTGGATACTGCCACGTTGATGGGAAATAAGTTGATCACCATCAGGTAAGCCTATGGATGTAGGTGGAGTAGATTCAACATGGGAAAGTAAATGAAAATTGCCAGTCATGTGTTGAGAAGCTCCACTATCCACTAGCCATGTGTAAGTTGGAGTTTGCTTACCAGAAAGAGATGTAGTGTTGGCAGAAGGTGTAGTATAAGAGACAACCATGTTAGCAATTTGTTGAAGAGTCTCAGAACTCAAATTAGGAGTAGTAAGCTGATTGGACACCATAGGAGTTGCAGCTGCGGTTTGTGGTGCAGGAGGAGTGGTTGTGTTTTGTCTTCTGTCATACTGTTTGCCTCTTCCTCTGCCACGACAATAGGGAGGTCGTCCATGAAGTTGATAGCATTTAGAAGCATCATGATATAGTTTACCACAATGGCTACAACGAACAGGATCAGTGTTGGAAATTTGGAATTGTTGGTTTTCTCGTGTAGCATAGCTAAGTACATCACTGCGAACATCACGAGACTGAGCCATATGAATCTGAGTTTCTTCTTGGACAAGTGTGGCATATGCTTTGTTGAGAGAAGGAAGTTCAGGTTGGTTGAGGAGTTGTGTTCGAATGGTACCAAACATATTATTGTCCAAGCCTAAAAGAAATTGGTGAACCCTGTCATCTGCCATCTCTTTTGTAATATGTTGTGTGACTGGGCAAGTTGCACCATGAGGGCAGTCAGGTAGGGCACGTGCAGCATCGAGTTCATCCCAAGCACCCCTTAGTTTGGTGTAGTAAGCACTCACAGAAATGCCTTGTTGTCGCAGCTGGAAGAGGTTTGATTTCAGCTGATGTATTTTTGGAGCATTTTGTATGGAATATCGTTCACGTAGATCATCCCATAGTGCTTTGGCAGTTGGAAAATAATGAATATAAGGTTTGAGAAGAGGATCGATAGTATTATGGATCCAACTATTTATCATTGAATTGCAAAGAATCCAAGCATGAGCTTCATCTGATGCAGTATTGGCAGGTTTGGAAATGGAGCCATCAATAAAGCCAAGCTTATTTTTAGCAAGGAGTGCATTTTTGAATGATTTGGCCCAAACATCATAGTTAGGTTCTCCTTTCAACACAACATTTGTGAGAAATAATCCAGGACTATCAGATGTGGGCATAAAAAAAGGAGAACGACTATCAGAAGGTTTGAGAGGAGGAACTGTATTGGTTTCTGGATTGGTTTGATTAGCGGAAGAAAAGTTAGAATCGGTCATGATGTAAGGAATGTGGATCGTAACTCTTAATCTGATACCATATAAAGAAGTAACACACGTATTGAACAATTGTAAAATGTTCTGTCATTAATGAAGGCTTAAAGCCATTTAAATAATACAAGATACGTTTGTTACTGTTACAAACAGCAAGAGAAAGCTACGCTATTGTTGTTACAAGAACGGCTGTTGCTGTTGTTACAAAATAACTGCAGAATAATAACAAAACTATTGGCCTAGTAACAAGCTATAGTTTAGGAAACAAAAATGTTGTTACGAACAGAAAGATAAGATCAGGGTGATCTTATCTTAACACAAGTATCTAGTTTATTTTAGGTACAGACCAATTTATGATATTTCATCTTTAGTTAGACAGTTTAATGCGCTCCTAAGACATGATGAACTCATGACATACATTCTGACCCGTTCTCGGTGTCATAATATCATTATCCAATATAAATCCAGCATGCGTGAATCAAATCAATATAAAAATTTAAGCATTTGGGAGAAACTACGTTAATAGTTTAATATTATATTTTTCTAACAAAATATATGTAAATGGGATGTGGAGATTTTAAATTTTGAGCATTCTAATTTCAAGCATAGTAAAAAAAAATAAAAATGACGGTAGTTTGAGGAATCCTAAACCAGACCTGAAGGCTTGCAAATCCATTTTCACACAATAAACTTCCATTTACATGCTCTTAGAAGTTGTATTTTTGTCGTATAGTTTAGTTTTGCTGGCTTTGTCAGAAACCAGAACAGCTATTGGTCTTAAATTTTTGGTGTCCTGTTTCTCTATAATTTCCTGTCCTTGTAGAAAAAAATGTAAACGACCCGAAGGTGATAGTTAATGCTTACACTGTTGTACTTTTTGATACATAATCAATGATCACGTGCCACCTATTTATTGTACTGTTTATTTTATTTTTTATTTTTTCAAATAATTAATATTCACGGATACACTGCATTTTTGTGTAAGAGAAGGGGTAGGAGGGGGAGAGGAAATTTTTCAAAACAGTTCTATGAATTAGCAAGATCATACATAACAAAGCAACATAGGTTGACAAAGCAGTACCTTATTTATCTGCTTTCAAGATGGGAAATTAACTTCCTTCACAAACTATGATACACTATATACCACACGTCCACAACTATATGTGGTACTCTTTCACAGTACACATAATGGATCTATAATTATATGTTACAAACAAGACCATATAACAGTCTATTGCTTCCTACAAATATTATAAGTACTGATTACATGTCACATGAACACATAATCAAGGTATTCCAATAATGGGGACAAAAGGTATATAATAGCTACTTGGTGCCAAACCCCACTCTGGAGGCAGAGGAAGATCGATGGTTTTGGATGAACCCACCTGTTTTGCAGCCTTACAATCTGTGTTTTGGGGGCATGATGTCAAGAAACTAAGAGGAGTGGAAATGGTGTAGCTGTTTTGCTCTTTTCCCTTGACAATTTGGGAAACCTGGTCCTTCCTTGAGACATAAAGCTGAACTGTCCCACCAATAAGTTTTGCAAGGCAATTCACAGAAGAAGGTTTGGTGTGGCCTGAGGGAAGGTCAACCTTGAAGGAGCCATTCTCTTCTGTAGTTGCCACAGCCAGCTTTTTCACACCTTCACACTTCACTGAAACCTTAATATCTGAAACCAGTGAAGAACAATAGAATCAAGGTGCATGAGGCCTAGAATGTATAAAGAAATGAACATTTATTTAAGCTAAAAAAGCCAATAATAATGGATGAGAGTTATCACAAACCAGATAAATCGTAATTGTGAGTGCAGTCAATGCATGAGACTTTGCCCTTTACCATTTGGCATGTTGAGGGGTCAATTCCAGCGAGAGCTAATGCAAAGAGAAGTGTTATGATAACCTGAACATAAGCCATGAGAGAGCTATGGAAGGAAGCAAGAGCTGACAAATATAAATGCCAGAGAAAAATTGAAGAGAAGGTGGTAAGCTTGTAGCTGATAAATATAGGCAGCAACAGACTGAGCATATTAAATGTAGGGGTCGTTGAGCTGAATTTAGTAGTTGGTGTCAACAGATTGTAATTAAGATACACCTTCCTTACAGGTTATATCACCATGGTATGAGCAGTTCTTGTCTAGAATCCACAGAAATATATGTTTGATAAGGTTTTTTTTTCATATTTCTCTAGACATTTTGTGGTTCACATGTTTTGAAATTTGAAAGCACTGTCTTTTTGGTAGAAAATTTGAATGTATACAGTTAATTAGAAAAAAAAGTTACTGTAAATTGAATTTGTCAGTGAGTACGTAACAATTTATCCAATCTTGGATTTAGTAAGATCTCCATATACTTTAAATTAAACCAATAATAAATATATTTTTACTTTAGAGACAAATTCACGGGAGGATGAATCTTCTGAAGATCTATTTATTCATATATCAATGGTAAAAATTAAAATGACAACTTTCGCTTTTATGAACTTTTTATTTAAGCTCCAGCTGTTGATGAATGAATTAATAATTGAAACTTTTCACGATATAAAATTAAAAAGATATAATTTAAAATTATTAAAGACTTATCACTTATCAACTTGAGCAATTAGATAAGTTGGTTCTCTACATAGCATAAGAGTTTCACGAGTTCCACTCATCGTCCTTCATTCTATTAAAATTTAATATATTAAATGCTGTAATTTTGGGAACGCTTTTCACAAACAATAACAAGCTGACCATAACAAGCAGTAATAAAGAAAACATAAAGGAGATTTACACCAGTATTTTACAGGTTCAGAAACTCAGTATCAGTGATTTCCTATGTCCTGGGGCCTAAAGAGGGTTAAATTCCCTCTGAGATTACTCTATATTCAAATCAAGTTCAGAACCAGAGTTTACAGTATACAATTTCAGGTATACAAAATAAGCATGTGAAGAAACTTTAACATGAAACAAAACAACAAGAAATATAATCTTGATACAACACATCAAGATTAACAAACAGAATCATAAAGGTAAAGAGAACTTCCCAATCTTTGAGCCAGCAAGGAATCGTAGTTCCTTTCACAAGATCTACAAGCTGATCAACATCAGCTTCACCGATCTTCCTCACAAGGTTGAGCTTCCACTCTTTGACCGTCAATCGGAAAAGTACACCGATCAATAGAACTGTCTTGTTGAGATGAACAAGTTTCTCCAAAACACCATAGATCAAATCTCAGTGTATCACTCGCTATTCTCAGAATGATTTCACTCACAAACCCTAACGAACAACTTTGTTCGAGAGAGTTCTTTTGGATGGTAGCTATCAGTAAAAACATATCACATTACGTTACTGTGTGCTCAGCAGAAGGGTTAAGAAGCTTTTGCCTTCACAAAGCAAAACGGTGCGTTTTTCTTGTGTTGCAAAAGTGGGCCTCAACCACTTCAATTGACCCAGTAGGCAAGTAGTGATAAGAAGCATACAGTTGACAAGTCCAAAAGCTCAATAGGTAAAATAGAGAGAAAAAACATCTATGTTTATGAAATACATATAACAAAACTCCACCTATTTCTAAACATACAACATAATAAGAGCAACCCAGATTTGGTGTAGGCATTTAACCCATAGGCCCATATGCAATGCATGATCATGGTGGTTTAATTTTTAGCAAACCTAGAGCATCTCTAAATTTGCCAACAGGTACAGATTTTGTAAAAATATCAGCAGGGTTAATAATGCCAGAAATTTTTTCAACAATTACTTGTTCACTAGTTATTATCTCCGTAATAAAATGAAGCCTAACATCTATATGTTTTGTTCTTTCATGAAATGCAGAATTTTTTGAAAGATGGATAGCACTTTGTGAGTCACAGTTTACCTTTGGTGGGTTCTTACCTAAACCCAACTCACCTACTATACCTTTTAACCATATGGCTTCCTTGACAGCTTCAGTCAATACCACATATTTAACTTCTGTTGTTGATAATGCCACTATGTGCTGAAGATTACATTTCCAGGTCACCACATTACCTCCCACAGTAAACACAAAACCAGTTAGTGATCTACGTTTATAAAGATTAGCAGCATAATCAGAGTCACAATATCCAACAATATTAAAATTATTGGAATCAAATGCAGAAAAATTTAAACAACAATTAATAGATCCATTTAAGTATCTAAGTAACCATTTAACTGCACTCTAGTGCTCTTTGCAAGGTTTACTCATAAACCTGCTTATCATGCTAACTCCATATGCTATGTCTGGCCTTGTGCCAATCATAGCATACATTAGACAACCAACAACATTAGAATAGGGAACATATGACATGTATTGTGTTTCTTCAGGAGATAATTTTCCAGAAACAACTTTAAGCCTAAAATGAGCACCTAATAGAGTGTTAACAGGCTTGGACTGATGCATCTCAAAGATTCTTAGAACCTTTCTGACATACTCAGACTGGGATAGTGACAGATGTCTGTCTTCCCTTGTCCTTGTAATTTCCATGCCAAGAATCCTCTTGACTGGTCCAAGAAATTTCATTTCAAATTCCTTTTTCAGCATATTCTTAACAAAATTTATTTCACTTAAATTTTTAGATGCAATCAACATATCATCCACATATATCAATAGATAAATGTAACAGTCGTCATGCAAATTTTTAAAATAAACACAATAATCAAAATTACTTCTAACAAAACCTTTTGATCAAACAAAATCATCAAAACGTTTATACCATTGTCTGGGGGCCTGTTTGAGACCATATAATGATCTCTTCAGCAGGCACACCATGTTTTCTGTCCCCCTCTTTACAAAGCCTTCAAGCTGTTCCATATAGATTTGCTCATCAATATTACCATGGAGGAAGGCAGTCTTGACATCAAGCTGTTCCAGCTCTAAATCATAGATAGCAACATCAGACAACATCAACCTTATTGACACATGTTTGACCACAGGTGAGAAAATCTCATTGTAGTCAATTCTTTCAACCTGGGAGTACCCTTTAGCCACTACCCGAGCCTTGAACCTTGCTGGTTCCACTCCTGGTATCTCTGGTTTTCTTTTAAAAATCCATTTACATCTAATTACTCTCTTTTTCTTTGGTCTCTCCACCAAAACCCAGGTGTTATTTCTCTTTAAAGAGTCCATTTCCTCATCCGTAGCTTTCACCCAACTACTCTTGGATTCCAGCCTCATAGCCTCTTTAAATGTAGCAGGTTCATCTAACTCAAGCACATCCCCAACTTGTAAGGCATATGCGACCACATTAGTATGTGCAAACCTACTTGGAGGTCTAATATTCCTCCTAACTCTGTCTCGTGACAGCAAGTAGTCATCAAGACCACCATCTCCTTCTTCAACCTGTCCTCCTTCATCAAGGGGACCAGTTTCAAGCTCTGGTTGACAAGGAACAACAGGTTGTTCCCTCAATTCTTCACCATCAGCATGCTGCCCAGGTATGGCAGATTGCTCCACCTCAAACTGAAAAGTTCCAGGTGGTTGGGAAGAACTGGGATCACTCATAATGTCTTTGTAGAAAATATTTTCTTTGAAAATGACATCTCTACTGACCACACACTTTCTTTCAACTACAAGCCAAAGCTTGTAGCCTTTTACACCAAGGGGATAACCTATAAAGACAGACTTTAAGGCTCTAGGACTCAATTTATCTTGCCTAATATGCATACAGGCAAGACACCCGAAAGGTTTTAGGTGACTTAAATTGGGTGGCTTATTTGACCAAAGTTCCATTAGGGTCTTAAAGTCTATGGTAGAGGAATGACACCTATTTATAACATAGGTGGCTGTAGCAACAACCTCTGCCCAAAATACCTTGCCAAGGCCAGATTCAACAAGCATGCACCTTAACTTATTTAAGATTGTCCTATTCATCCTCTCAGCCACCCCATTTTGTTGGGGTGTTTCAGCACAGGTCCTATGTCTTTGGATCCCACGCTCCTTGCAAAAATCAGCAAACTGATTGTTGCAAAACTCTAAGCCATTGTCAGTCCTAAGGACTTTAACCCTTTTTCCAGTTTTATTTTCAACCAAGATTTTCCAATCCTTAAAACTAACAAAAGCTTGATCCTTATGTTTTAGAAAATAAGTCCAGACCTTTCTGGAATATGTGTCAACTATTGAAATAAAGTAGTGACATCCAGATAAAGAACTGGGGATATTTGGAGACCCCCACAGGTCTGAATGGACATATTCCAACACTGCCTTAGAGGTATTGCTAGCAACAGAAATGGGGAGCTTGTCAGTTTTTCCCAAAACACAACTTTCGGAACACATACAAGATTCGTCACCACAAAAAGGATTAGAATGGTAACCCCACCGTTAACTACTTCAATTGAATAGTAATCAAAATAAATGTCCTAAAATTCCACATTAGTTGCCTCTTTTGAGCTAATAATACCTTGCTTATAAAGCTCAGACAGCCCCTGATTGTTGATGTGTCCAAGTCTCCTATGCCAGAGAATGGATTCATCAGTTTTAGCAGCTGCCACACAAGCTTTTTTGTGTGACAGCTTGGCCTTCTAGTATATAGAGGCCATTTACAAGCTTTCCTCTCATGAGGACTTGTGATCCCTTGACAATATCAAGTAACCCTTGCTTACTTTTAAACTCAAGGCCACTAGAGTCAAGCATCCCTAAGGAGATCAGGTTTCTCCTTAATGTGGGAACAAATCTAACTTCCTTTAGAATTTTACAGCTCCCATCACCCATCTTAAACATAACAGACCCCACACCTTTTATCTCACACACTTGGTCATTCCCCATCAAGACTTTGCCACCCCTTTGGAACTCCAGCCCACTAAGCCACTCTTTTCTGGGTGTCATATGGTATGTGCACCCAGAATCCATCACCCATTCAGTTTCAAAAGTGCTATCTTACAGAACCAGTGCTTCAACACTGTCAAACTCAGTGAGTACATTTGTATACTCAGTTTTACCTTGCTGTTTGGGGACACTC